CAGATGATGAAGAGCAACTGTATCTTCACGTCCATTACCGAAGCGAACGTGAGCGAATTGCGGGTTACAATTCAATAGCTCCACCTCTTCAACCAGGGGATCGAATTTGGACTGACGAACACTCCGCCGGAGAAGTACTGGTCCTGGTACAGTGAGCCAAGTAGGAAGAGTTGTCCCAGATGTCGATCTTCGGTTATAGGTAAACAGTCGTTCGTGTGGCGTGGCGTTCGTTGCAGTACAGAGCAAAGATCTGATGGAATGCAAGGCGTCGAGTAGAACAGACTCCCATTGTGCCGTTGGTAGGCCCCGTGATCTTAATGCTAGAGTGATGGCACGCCAAAGTGTTCCATTGAGGCGCTCGACCTGCCCATTGGCTTGAGGATTGTATGAGGTAGTACGACTGGTTGCTACGCCTTTCTCCAGAAGAAATGCCCGTAATTCGGTAGACATGAAAGCAGCGCCTCTGTCGGTATGTATGTAAGAAGGCATACCGAAAATCGAAAACAGTTGGCAAAGGCAATTCATTACCGTTTGAGACGACATGTCGGGGCAGGCGAATGCAAAGGGGAATCGAGAATATTCATCGATCAGCGTGAGCAGATAGTGATTGCGGCTAGCTGACGGTAGAGGTCCTTTAAAGTCGATGCTTAACCTTTCAAAAGGTTGGGTTGCTTTTATGAGTTTGAAATTAGAGGGATTGTAAAATTGAGGCTTTAACTCACAGCATGTCACGCATTTACTGGTTACATTGCGCACCTCGTCAAGGGAGAATGGAAGGTTTCTCGAGCGTACAAAATGCATCATTCGGACAACTCCAGGATGGCACATAGAGTCATGGAGAAATTTCAAGTCGCACACTGACTGCAAGGAACCGCAGAAACTACGGGAAAATGTATCAGCAGCTTGATTATCCCTTCCAGGACGATAAATGATGTCATATTGATAAGGGGATAGCTCAATTCTCCAACGCATTATTTTATCGTTCTTGATTTTGCCTTTATGAATCTTGTCAAACATGAATGCTACTGAACGTTGATCAGTGACAAGTTTGAAGTGATTTCCGAGAAGGTAATGCTTCCACTTACGAATTGCTTCAACCACGGCATAGGCTTCTTTCTCAACCGATGAATGATGTTTCTCACTTCGAGAGAGGCTTCGAGAAAAGAAGGCGACAGGTTTACCATTCTGGTTTAATGTAGCTGCAATTGAGACATCTGAAGCATCTGTTTCAACAACAAGGGGTGCTTTCGGATCAACTACCACAACGACTGCACGTTCTAAGTCGTCTTTCAGTTTGTCAAAAGCATTTCGAGTTTCGATATCAAGAGGGAAAATCCGATTATTTACCAATGGGTGGATTTTATCTGAGAAGCGAGGGATCCACTGTGAATAATAAGCAAATAATCCAACGGCCCGTTGTTGAGATTTGATATCTGTGGGTGGTTCTAGATCACGAAGAGGTTTTAGCCGATCGGGATCTGGTTTAATAACCCCTTTGAAACTTCATAACCGAGTAATTGTATGCTTCTGCTTGAGATCACACTTTTGGAATCATTAAGGGTTATTCCATAATTGCGTGCTGCTACCATAAACTTGTTTAGATTTTTGTCGTGTTCCTCCTGAGTTTTGCCGCAGATAGTGACATTGTCAATGTAGGCAAACGTGCTTGTGAGTTGTTCTTTACTGATCAATTCATCGATAATGCGTTGAAAACAAGCTACGCCATTGGTAACACCAAAAGGAATTCGGCAAAATTGGTAAAGTTTCCCACAAGCCTCGAAAGCAGTATATGGTTTATCTTCGTTCCTTAGGGCAATTTGATGATAAGCATTCTTCAGATCAAGAGTGCTGAATATGTCATATTGTGCGATTTTTTCTATCATTTCGTCAATCCTAGGTAATGGGTAAGCATCCAGAAAAGTGAATCGATTGATTGTCTGACTATAATCAACTACCATCCTCTTTTTATGGCGTTCGTTTGACGTAACAAGAACTTGAGCTCGCCAAGGAGAATTAGAAGGTTCAATAACACCTTCTTGCAGTAACCGGTTGACTTCGGTGGAAATAAAACTTTCATCTTCACGAGAATAACGCCGGGATTTTATCGCGATCGGTTTACAGTCTTTTGAAAGATTTTCAAACAGAGTAGGCAGGTCGACGCGAACACAAGGTAGACCACAGAGAGAAAAAGGCGGCTTTGATCCCCCAAAAGGAATCTCAATGTGTTTGTGAAGTTTTAAAAAATCATGTCCAAGAAGGACGTCTGCACATAAATTATGAAGAATGGAAAATTTGAATAGATCATAAGTGTGGTTTTTATAGCAGATGGATAGAAACAATGTCCTTCAGTATGACTAGTAAGATTCGTACTCGCCATTGTGATTCTGTTTCGAGACTTATGGACTTTCCAGTTATACTTACGAACAACTGAGGAAGAGATGTAGCTCTCACTGCTTCCGGTATCCACTAGAGCTTGCATTGATTTCCCATTGACAGTAAGCTGCGTAACAGCATCAGTGAGACTTTGAGGTGCTGAAGCCACAACGAGAGATGAAATTATAGAGTTAACTGAAGATGGACCTTTTTTCGTAGATGGCGCAGACCTGCAAACCTTCTGAAAATGTCCTTGCTTGCCACAAGCTTTGCAAATTGCATCACAGGCGGGGCATTTGGAACGAGGATGTCTACGATTACCACAGAAAAAGCATTTGGATTCAACGACAGCAATGGTTGTTTCATTGACGAAGGGTGTGGAATCTGATGAATGAGGTACATCATGTAAAGAAATGGACGCGCAAGGTGTAACAGGATTGTTGTATGACTGCGATTGTTGATGTGCCATCTCTAGAGCTCGTGCTTGATCGTATGCCGCTTGAAAAGTTAAAGTACGCTGTTCTAATAGCCTCTGGCGTATCATCGAAGACTGTATACCTGAGATGAATGAATCACGTAGTGATTCGTTACGATGTTCTTCTGCTGTAACCGCTCTGAATGAACAATCTGTAGTCAGCGACTTGAGTCGACGAACAAACTGATCCAGATTTTCGCCAGATTCTTGTTTACACGTTGCTAACAAGTGTCGAGCAAACACTTCGTTGCAAGGCTGCATGTAGAGACTCTTGAGAGTGTCGATAGCTTCTTCGTATGTTTTGCATTCAGAAATGCATTCGTATACAGAAGTAGAAATATAATTGAAGAGAATATGTAGTTTCGAAGGATTTTCGGATCCCATTGATTCAATGAAGTAGGAAAAAGTCGCAAACCAGTGATCCCACTTCTTGGTAGCTCCAACTGCGTTAGGTTTTACGTCGAACCGATCAGGTCGGAAAAATCGTTCCATGAATATTGTAAAATGAATAAATTGTTACGAAGGTGATTGAGTCTTAGAACGATGAGTGATGCTTGAATCTTGAAAAGACGAATGAACCAAGAATTTAGGCTTTATTCATTTTACAATGAAGCCGGAATGGCTTAAACATATAAAGGGAAAAAAGAGTGTTAATAGCGGTAGAGATATGAATATGATTAGATACGTATTATAGGAAAAGTTCATAACAACCATAATCTCTCATCTCCTCTTCACACGATTCGTCCATGTCAACCTCGATTTGACGATTCACTCGTCGCTTTCCATTTCGATTCCACTCGAGTGATGACCTGGCGCGCGATATCATTTGACGGTATCATCAAAGTATGTCCAATCCATCTCCATTTTTCTCCTACATGTTTGTTGAGCGATTGGCTGTTGGTTGGTTTGTTGCCAGAGTTTTCCGTTGCTAATTCTTTATGACCAGCCATTTGATCTTCAGGATTAAGCCAGTGAAGTGGGCAGATGTTGAGAAAAGCCTGTTGCAAAAGGCCTTCTGTAACTCATGCGCAATGCAAGTTTATAACCCGTGTAAAAGAACTGACTGATTGAAAATCTGAATCTTGTTGTTTATGTTGGCTCAGTGAAGCAGAAAATTTCCAAACTGATTTCAGGTTGATGACGGCGTATCTTGCCATTCTGATTCTTTCTGGCTTTGATATCTTCATCCGTTCTGCCTGGAGTTGAAAAGATGCTGCCTAACGAAATAAGTGAAGGAAGTTACCTCTGTCAAATCTCTCCCTATGATGATGATGATGATTGGTGCTGTTTGGTGTTGCTGTTGGTTGATTGGTTATCTTCATCACGGATCAGAGACATGATGCGTCATAAAGAGCACCTCAAAAAAGCTACAGACCTTCATTAACAGCTGTCTTCGCTCAGTACTACTCAAGATCAGATGGCTAGCCAGAAAAGATTAGCAACAGGGATCTCTGGCAATCAGCGAACCAACCCAGCAGGAACCGATTGTGAAACAAATAGGCAGGAAGAAATGGAGATGGATTGGTGGCCATACTCTGAGGAAACAAACCATCAAGTGAGTGACATCACTAGACAAGCCATTGATCGAGTGGAAACCGAAAGGGAAGCGGCGAGTTGGTCGTCAGTGCAAGGGTGACTTGGAGGAGATCATGTGGAGAGGAGATGAAAACATGTGGACAGACTTGGAGCCAGGTGAAAACTAGCAGAGAAGCGAACGCAATGGAGACGCGCAGCTGAAGCCCTACGTTCCTCTAGGAATTAAAGGAAAAATAATAATAATAAACCAACACCTGACATAGTGCTGAAGAATATTCTAGCCGACGCTAAACCTTGTGAAGTTATGAGGTTCAATGATGCTTAAGTAGCTTTATAAAATTAGAGTGAATATATCTATGCAGGTGTTTATTTGTTTATTTAGTTTTTACCAATTTTTGATCTAGCCACGCTTCTTTCTGTCTCTCAACCCAGTAGTTCCCAGTTCTGTTGGCATAGTATTATGAGATCAAACAGTAGATTGATGAATCCATGGGATATGTCTTAAAACTACTTCTGTTTATGTCAAAGTTAACAGTTTGATTTAATCTATTTATTTTAACCTTTGTCCCATATTGATCTTAATTCTGTGTGTATACCTCATTTCCACTCATTTTAGGTGAAACATTTGAACTTCACCCTCGTGATCAAGTGAATCATCATCCGAGTATTGTCATTACACCGTGTGAAAGTGATCCAGTATACAATAAAACTGGTACAAAACTTCAAATTATACAAACTAAATGTCCAGATCGTAAATGACGTCAACGACGGTAATGATGATAATGATGGTGATGATAATGCTTAGGATGTTGACACAGCAAGAATACCTTCAAGCACATTGAGAACTTTGTTAAATTTCAGTTATTGTGATAAGTGGACGAAGAAAAAATGAAAATAAATAAGGAAATACATTCTAGTATTACACTGTCTTTCTATGATCTCTCTCTCTCTCTCTCTCACACACACACACACACACACATACACATACATTAGACAATACACCTTCTCTTGTCATTAACATTCTCAGCAGACAAAAACGCCTTTTTTCTGACGTATACAAAAAAACAACAGCGGATATAATTATTCTCATATTGTTAAGATGACCGGTTATATAAACATATGAAGACATATTCATATACTCTTCACTGATGAATACTGTTCTTTGCTCGCAGCTGTTGTGTTTATATCTTCATTCATTCATTCATTCATGCATCATCCACGTCATCTCTCTGTTTATCCTTTCTCAGGTGAGTGTAACACTCTTTGTTCTCTTGCCTCATATTTGGTTTTTGTTGTTTTTATTTTCTCTTCTGTGTGAATGGCGTGTAGCTTTTTCCACTTGATTTTCTTTTCTTCCTTTTTGTCATTATTATTATTATTATTATCATTATTATTATTTTGTATGCGCATGTTACTGTCACAACTTCCTCCCTCTAGGGGTTACCTCACCACTAATAATAATAATAATAATAGTAGTAGTAGTAGTAGTAATCACATCCACGGTGTGCAATACCGTGAGTATTATTCTATAACTTGAATTATTATTTTTGTTCTTGCCATTATTGATGATGTCAAGAGGGGGAGGGTAGGGGTAGTGTGTTTCTGTTGCGTAAACAATAACAGTAGCAACAACAAGAGCACCCCCGCACCCCCCGCGCCGACATGGTTTATAATTATAAATTTTATATGATGTAAGTTTTATTTTTAGTTATCTTGAAAAAAAACTTTGCGTATACATTTCGTTTTTCTTCATTTACTACACATTAGTGTTTACATCTCTTATGCTACTTTATGTTCTGGTTAGCAGTATGCTAATATGACTACTTTCATTATTATTTCTATTATTTTTTCATGTGCTTTCTTCGTGTACACATGATGCAACTAAAACACACCGTGTATTAAGGGATGATGCGTGTATGTGTGTGAGCGGTTGGTTTGTTGTATGTGAGTGAGTGGGAAGGGGAGGTTTGAGTGAGAGAAAGAGAGAGAGAGTACGTGAGTTAGTAGGGGGATAACAGCTGATTGCGTTTAATGAATGAATGCATGAATGAATGAATGACTGTCCATTATTCTCCTTTTGAGGGGAACTGCATTTCATTTTAATGTTGACGATAATGATGACGATGATATTGATTTTATTTTTTATCACACTCTATGATAATAATTCTTTGTTGTTTTAGTATCATATTCTCACATTTCATCAGTTTTTCTTTGACCACCTATTCATTTTGTTTATTTATTTATTCATGTATTCACATGATTTACACGAAGATGCGTTGGTTATATATTTGAGTATGCTGTGAGTAATCTCTTATCTATTCTGAAATATATGTGATATTAAGTTTTGCTTCTGTCTGTCTGTCTGGATTCAACATACAACTTGGCACCGAAGTGCACCAGTTCGAGTTGCCACGTTCCAAATAGCACACAAAGGTAGACAAGAAGATGAGTGAAGAGAATCAAAAGAGTTAGACAGGTATAAGAGCGAAACAGAATGGGTAATGGTAGAAAGAAATATGAAAGAATACAGAGACTGAATACATCTGCGCTGGTCATTGACAACGATTTTGAGCCATGTGTCACCTATTGTCTCCAGCCATTGATTCCTAGAGTCCCGAGGGCCCCAACCCGGAAGTCTGCATCTCCCTACCTGACTCAGTTTAACTGTCAAGGATTTCATGGATTGATGAGGCCATGTTTTTGTTAGGCCACCACTTACTCTTTTCCAACCTGCACCTATATCAGCTAGTAATGCCCGTCGGGAGAGGCGATGGTTAGGCATGCGCACCACGTGACCTAGCCATCTCAATCTATGTAACTTTATAGCCTCGTCGATTGATTTTCCCTCTTTGCCCAACACTCTACGCCTAACGTCAACATTACTTACCTTATTAAAACTCCTAACGTGAGACAGAGATCGCAGACATCTATGATCGAAAGCAGTTAACCTTTTCTTGTCTTCAACTCGTATTGGCCATGTTTCAGAGTCATAAAGTTTTGCTTCAATTTTTTTGATTTAATTATTGTATCTATAAGTTACTACTTTTAGGGTTGGATTGTGAATAGTTGGTTAGTGTTGTTGGGTTTACAGATTATCCACAGGAGATTTTGTAGTTAAGCTGGAGATTTTGTTTTAACAAATGTATTATATAAGTGGAAAAGATGACTAGCTTCCATTTCTTATTGCTTTATGCACACACACAGATGTGATACTTAGAAATATGTTATTTAGTAAGAATACTGGGGCTTGAACCATTACTCGCCACAGATCATCACATTAGCTGGTACCAATCGCTCTAAAATCATGAATTGGTAGAAATTAGAATTCATGGACTGGACATTAAGTCAGGTCCCAGTGGTTGAATTTATTATTTATTTTATTTTGATTGCAGCTTGATTCCACACCGTATATTTGGGACAAGTGTGGAATTTTCAGCGTGGATATCGGTAGCCCGAAATTCGCAGGCCGACCATAGAATTGTCTACGAGCCTGGCTTGTAAATGGAAGGAGGACTTCCCATTATGAGCAGTGTACTGCTTCCTATCACAAGGGTAATAATCCAACCACTTATTAGTCCAACACCCTACTTGTGACCTTGGTACAGAGTTAAAGGCAGATGTTCAACCTAGGAAGGCACACCAAACATTTTTCGCACCTCTATCTAAACTGGAGAAATGGGAATCAACGAGGGTGATATGGAAGGAATCATGTGGGGGGGAGGGTCCAGCTAAAGTAGACTGCAGAGAAGAGAGTGCCCTGAATCACTGTGTCCTCACTTGGAACCTAAGACAATACTTCAGTTGTAATAACAGAAATAGGTAAATTTGCTTCTATTTCAAGTTTGACCATTGATTGACGTCAGTTAGAAAACCTTTGGGAACCAGCACTAGAGTACTGGACAGATGCTTTGTCAACATAGTTTGGGACTCATTGGCACTACGCAGGCGTACCACTCGGGTTCGAACCCAAAAGATTCCGGTTATGACCACTAAGCCAATGGGACCCGATCCAACGACCAACCCATAAATTTTAACTTCTGCCAGTTCGTGATTTTAGTGTGACTGGCACCAGCCAATGTGTCATCGCTGGCGAGTGTTTGTCCTCTCTCTCTCCACAGGATGGACCTCACTGGTCACGACTTCTCACTGGAAGTTGGGACAGCTTCGTCCTGTAACCAGTCACTGCGAGCATACCTTGTAGTTGGAAGGTTCTGGGTTCGAACCGTGGTGGATGAGTACTTCTGAGGAGTCCGAAACTAGAATGAAACAACTGTTTACTACTCAAATGCTGGTTTTCAGTGGTTCTCTAACTGATACCCACCTTTGTTTAAACTTACACCAAATCAAATCTCTACGAACTTACTCTTGAATCTTAACTAATCATTTTATTGATTGACCTTTCACTGTGAAGTGTGACAAAGATTTGTTAAATTTAGAAAGTACTTTAATAGTAATAATGTACTTTATAAGACTCTCAAGTTGTCCTTGATGTAGCCAATCAAAATGTAGAAAGCAGTTTGTATTATCTTCTTTGACTATTAATAGAAAGAACCATGTTGGAATCACATCTTTTCAACGAGAAAAGATGTGATACTCTATGCAATTTACGTTTATTTTAGTCCTTTAAACATAGTTATAACGGTTAAAAATTTCACAGTGATCTAGCAAATAAAATTAGCAGTATTCAGACGCTTGAATTTACTCATCTTTTCATAAATTCACCCTCGGTAGTCACCAGAAACTGTTTGTTATCACTAAGTGTTGTCGTGCTACTAGACACTTGAGGTTTAATAATAAACCACGAGATTTCCTCTACAGTAGGAATATTTCCAAGGTAGATCACGGAGAAGCCCTGAAATTCTGGAGTACTGGACGATTGTTTCATCGTACTTTGGGACTCTCCGTAGGTACACATCTATGACCCCACTGGGGACTCAACGCAGGAGCTTCAGGAGACAGATACTGTCTAACAACATTAACTGGTAGAATTTGGAATTTGTGGGTTGCTGGAATCCGTCACACCGGTTGAACAATCAGCTGGTTTGTTGTTACCTGAAGGTCCTAGGTTTGGTCTACAGTGGGATCATGGATGTATACTGCTAAACAGTCTCGAACTGAGATGAGACAACCAGTCCAACACTCAGTGTTTTTCAATGGTTCTCTAAATGAAATGATCTAACTTTAGGTCAGTCAGATCCTAGAAAATCAACAAGTGTTCGTCACCGCAGACAAATGCATACTTCATTATCGCCTTTATTATCGTAAGTGGAAACTAAGACGTGAGATACTGTTGTCAACAGGATTTTATTGGCGCACAAATTACTTCCTGGTATTCGAATCACTAGATGCGAATTACACATTTCGAGGTGAAAATTCATCACAGTATGCTTTGATGATCAAGAGTACTTGGACCATAATACGTTTTCTTTCTTCTTGCATGACTTGCCTCACTCTGATGAAATGAACTTTGTTAAATATGCCGATAATCTAACTATTTCAGTGTCTGTTAACTCCCAGCTAGACTGCACTAAGAAGAACAGCTTTCTATCAGGAGGTAGCAAATTGTCTTCGTCTAGTGGCACTAAACTAAATCCTTCTAAATGTCAGACCGTTAATTTCAGTTTCCGATGTAAAAGAAAGTTAAATGAAGCTGTTGGTTCCTATGACCCTTGCAAAATTGATGATACTGATGATTTAGGAATCAAGTCTGAAGTTAAGTATCTTGAATTAATTCTTTCTTCTGACCTATCCTGGTCTTC